ATATTCAGTTTCCATTGGGGTAGTCATTTCGGAATTATCTTGCACCATACTCACTTGTAAGTCTTCACTAGAGACTGGAATTGGGTCAATTTCTTGCCCCTCTTGGTTCTCATCCCCAACTTGGAATTCATGCGGTAGTATGTGAACCATATTCACTGACACTGAGCCAAATTGGATGGCTGGCTGTGTCTGTTTCTCCTTTTGGCCACCTTGTTCAGTTACTGCGGAAGTATCCTCCATGCTGCATTCTGGTAAAGCATTACTAACGAGCTCCTTCGAATGGTCTTTTCTGATTGGCTTTTTAGCCAAAAACGTTTGTTCAGCCATAAAGGCTTCGAACATTTCTTCCTCAACCATTTCTTTCTTTTGTCCTAGGCCAACTTCTTTCTCTGCCTCGCTATCACTCTCCATCAACACCTTCTCCAATTCTGCTAGACTGGACTCTCTCTGGCTTTTAGTTTCTTTTGGCCTAGGCCAACTTCTTTCTCTGCCTCGCTATCACTCTCCATCAACGCCTTCTCCAATCCTGCTAGACTGGATTTCTTTCTGGCTTTTAGTTTGGAGTGAACTTTGGCCAACTGTTCTCTGCTGCAATCCATCTTGCCTTGTAGAGTTGGTTTTGGAGTATGGTCTGACTTTGGGTTCTTCTTTCCTTCTGTTTGGACCAATGAAGAACTCTCTCCACTTTCTTTCAGGTCTTGCTGGTACTGAGTGTACCTACGCTGAATTTTCCTTCTTTGTGATCTAGAAATTACGGGGACCATATCTGGTTCCTTCGTTTTTGGGTGTTTAAGCAATACCCAATTGTTTGGAGCCACCAAAGGAGGTTTGACCATCCTACCTTGGTTTCTAATTATATCTCTTTGGGTAAACACATCCCTAGGTTTGTTCTGCATCACAAACCAATCTGGAACTCCAGGTACCCACGAACTTACTGACCCGGCTGTTGAACTGCTTCTTTCTTCCTTCGAAACCACTTTCGAAGCTGGTTATGAAGGCCATTGCCTGGCCCTGACTTCATGCTTTGGGCCTAAGTCAGGCCTTCGATGAAGGTGTCCACTTTTTGTCCTGCGTGATGCTGGTCTAGGGAGCCAATCTCTGGCTTTGATCCCATAAACTGAACCCTTCTCCAGTCTCCTTTCAGAATGACTGCTCTCCATTCTGTAATAATTAAGTGACCTGAACTCATATAAGGGCCTCTTGCCTTTAGAATGCATTCTATCGGCTGTTGGTTCAACCATTAATGGCTGCTGCCTAACACCAGATGGATATGGCCTTTTATTGTAAGCATTGGTTGGTTTAGGACGTCTCTGCACATCCTTGTAATAGTGCTTCCCATCAATTAGAAGCCCTTTCAACCACTTGTAGCTTAGTCTGCACCTGGGACACATCATTTACATTACAACTGCCTCTAAGGAATCATCATCCAGTGCTTCTTCATCAGAGTCTTCCCTCTTGTGTGAAAAACCTTGTCTAATAGCTAGTAGATTTCCAGTGTCTTTCTTGATAGCTGTTTGGTTGGCCACATGCATCTGCACATTGACTTCTTCTAATTCTTTCAAAGACAGGTTCTGAAAGTTCGGCATAATGACATTGGCTGCCACCTCTCCAATTTCTGGAAATGGATTACTGTCGATCCCCATGGCCTTTTCAGCTTTGGCTGGGAATTTCAAACTTCCTTTCCGAATTTGTTCTTGGATCCTGTCTCGAAAAACAATACAGTTCTTAGTCGAGTGAGACCAAGAATTATGCCATTTACAATATACTTTTCCTTTAAGTTCATCAAGAGATGGAATTTTGACTCATTTTGGTAATTTAAGGAAATTGGCTGCAAGCAAATGATAAAAAATGTCATCTACCTTAGTTAAATCGAAAGAGTATTTCCTGTGAAGGTCTTTCTTTTTAAATTGCTGGTCAATTGTTGTATCCTTATGAATTAATGCTTCACAGATCACAGGTTCTTTCCCCACAATCTCTGCTGCATCGATCTCATAATTAGGATCTCTATAATATGTCTTGTACGATGCATTATTTCGATCTTGTTCCTCCTCTAGTAATGCTTCGTATCTAGACATCTTATAAGTGAGTTCCACTAAGTCTCTGAACTCAGTTGAGTCAAACTTCTTTCGAAGCCTAAACTCTAAGCCATTTTGAGCCAATCTCACGAATTCTGGCTCTGGCAGGATGACTCTACATTTATTTCGAGCCCTTTTAAATCTGGCAATAAACTGAGTAGCTTTCTCGTCAGGCCTTTGACTCAATCTTGCTAAGTCTGCCATAGAAACCTCTGTCTCCGATTGGAAGAATTGGGCATGAAATGCCTCTTCCATTTGTTGCCAAGTTTGAATAGAGCCAGGTGCAAGGTTAATATACCATACAAATGCTCCCCCAGTTAGGAAATTTGGGAATAACCTTAACTTTATGTAGTTATTATTAGTAAATTCACCACATTGAGCAGCAAACCTAGCAATATGTTCCACTATTGATTGGTTTCCATTCCCATAAAAAAGGGCAAAATCTGGTATCCTGAAACCTCTTGGGTATTCATGTACCTTGTCTACCCATTCTGGGTATGGTTTCCTGTACATTGGAGTCTGGACCCCTCGAGCCATTAGTCCACACATCTCTCTAACAATGTCAGCAATTTGGCCCCTTAGGACCATATTTTGTGCCGGTTGAACCACTACTGAAGGGGCAAACACAGGATTTGGTGGGCAAACTTGTGCCTGTGGTCCTCTTGGTCCATAAGGTGGTATATTTGGGATTGGTTGTCCCTGTGATACAGGTTGCTATTGGAGGTGTGGACCCCTTTGAGCCTGTCCTGCGAAAGGTGCTGGAACTGGTGTTGTGTCTCTTCCATTTGTAGGAAAACCTTCCAACCCTCCGGGTATAAATTCGAATAAGGGATTAGTGAACCCCTTTGTGCCAGGTATGGCTTCGAACATGGGATTTGGAACCATTCTTATGCCATTTTCTTGTACTGGGCCACATCCACCAAATTGCATGGCTTCACTGTTAAGTACTGACGCATTTTAACCTGCTATAGGCCTCGGAATAGGTTCGTACCAAGACTGAGGTGATGGTCTTTCATAGTTCTGATTACTAGTTTGACCATTAGAATGTCCATTAACTTGCATAGGTTGTTTATCTCTAGCCAATCTTTGCTGAGGGACATTCGAAACTTCCTCTATGTGTCTTATGTTTGTTAGTTGGTGGTTATTCATTCGATCCAAAAAGGATGTTGCCCACCTTTCCATTGTGTTCATTAATTGTTGTCACATAGCATCTACTAGGCCACCCCATAGATTTATTGGCTGAGTAGATGGAACAGTGGAAAGTCCAATTCCTTGGTTTCGTCCAATATTATGAACATGTGGTACTTGTTCTGAAGTGCTGGTCTGTTTGACCATAGGTTCCGATAAAATAGGAGTTTCCACAGGATGTGTTATCACATTATCCTCCGGATTAGGTATCTCTACCTCTCCTTCCATGCCTTCTTCCAAGCGTTCATTTTCTCCTTGTCTCCTACATCTAGCCATTTCAATTAGTCCCAATGGGTGTACCAAAAATATATGTTGGCTTTTTGGCTTTCGAAGGTTATTATTGTAATTGCGAGCGTGCCAGCAAGGATCAATCAGTCTTTACAAAAAATTAATTGCCAACCAATTATCAGACGATTGTGTTTTAGTTCTTTCAGCCTCAATGAAGAGGACTTTTACTGGTGGCTTGATTTAGGAGAATTAAGCAAAATAACAATTAAATAAAGAACAGTTGAAGTATTTCATTAACATGAAAAAACTTACAATGATCCAAACTCAACCTCGTAGACGTTTACAGCAACAATCTATTTGAAACTACTCCTATGAAAGAAGTGCAATGCAGGAATTTAAAGTACAGAAAATGTAAGACTGGAAATGTAAAACTGAAAAGAAAAATAAGTATAATAAGACTGGTTTTTTGGATTTGAGTCTGGGGGTCTTTTTCTGGAACCTTCTCTGCTATTTATACTTCTCGAGGATGACCATCGAACTACGTTTCTAACCGTCAAACTGCTCCTCCATGATTGCTGATCATGTTGCCTTGTAATTAGCCCACTATGCCATTACTTGCAGTTAGACTTCTCTCCTAAATTTGAATTTAAATGTGAGTAACCGTTGAAGCCACATCACCTTGCATCTTTTTGTTGATTCACTACTGCTCAGATCTCGTAAAAACCAATACTAACTGCCACGTGTACGATCAGGATCGAAGACTTAAGTTATCTTCCTGTATTACCCTTATTCTGCCACGCGTCGAATTGTAATTGACTTGTACAAAATATGTAGCCAACACTCACATAATAGCCAAGTTGCGAAACTGAATGAGTAGAATGACCCCGTCTAGTATTTGTCCACTTAGCACATTACTGTTCAATCTCCTGTAATCATTATATAAAGAAAAATTATTGACAAAACAGCATATAACACACAGAGAGAGAGAGAGAGAGAGAGAGAGAGAGAGAGAGAGAGAGTTACATAAATCTCAAGGATTTCAAGTTGCCTAGGGTTGCCGGGATGGACCCAGAAAGTTGATTGCTATAGAGGTCCAGGCTAATCAATCCGCTTAGCATGCCAATCTCTGATGGAATTGATCTAGTGAGGTTGTTAGCATATAATTCCCTGCAATTCATTGCACATATATTTGATACATATTTATTCATGTGCAATAGTTTTAAAGCTTTTGAACTAATTGATGCCAAAATAAGAGATTTTTCATTTTACTCAACAACCGTTCAATTGTATCAAGTTACTCCACAGAAATACGAAATGTATTTTTATTCTTTCCTTATAACCTTGGTGCCGGTCACTATTAATGATGGAATTAGGAATGGAGATGTGAAGAAATCCCCTCAGTTTTGAAGTTGAAATGTCTAAAATACCCGTACTTTCACTGTAATTATGGCAAGCAAATAAAGACACATTTTGTATTTTGAGGGATCAAATTAGGCTTCCTTTCACTACAAGAAAAGTGGTCTGTAACGGCGCTTGAATCAAGACGTTTTAAAAAACGTTGTGGTATACTGAATAGTCAACACGTTTTTCAAGGCGTCATGCTCGCCGTATTTAACTTAATAGACATTAAACCCCATTCCAATTACAAAATAACACAAAATCTCTCTCATACACGGCTCTTCTTCATCGAACTCGATCTCTCTCTCTCTCTCTCTCTCTCTCACAAATCGCAGATCCGAACTCGATCTGATCTCTCTTGCATTTTGTTAGATCTATTCTTGCTCTAGCTTTTCTTCATCGAACTCAAACTCGATCTCTCTCGCAAATTGCAGATCCGAAATCGAACAAGAAAGTCTATCAATTTAATTGGTGTTTGATTTCTTTGTAGGTGGCGATGAAATGTAGAGATCAGTTACATGAACTTGTAAAGGAAGAGATTGAGAAGAGGGATTCGAGTACGGAGGAGTGGAAGATCGCGATGGAGAGAAGCTTCAATCGCATGGACAATGAGGTGATTGCAAGGAACGACAGCGTTCTGCGCACCGAGAAATATCGATCCGTTGTTGAAGGATCTGAGTGAGAAGAAGCAGAGCTTCCGGCGGAACGTGGTGTCACTGGCGGTGGAGCACAAGGAGGTCCGAAGCCGTCTCGCTTCACAGGTGCAATCATTGGCTCTTCAAACCCTAACAAGACAGGCATGTGAATTTGTATATTTGTTTATATGTTTCTATGTATATTTGTTTGCATCTGTGTGTACTTTGGAAATAAAATAATTTCATTTCACCTTTTTGTTCTTCTCTGTAAAGTGATGTTCTTTGTGGGACCTTCTCTAATTTTGTGTATTTTTGGGTTTTTTATTATTATTTTTTTCCCTAGGCAGAGGCCAAAGCTAAGAAGATGGAGGATGAGATGTATAGATTACAGGAGAGCTTAGAGGAGAGAAATTGCAGCTTCAAGCATCAACATCTACTGCTGGGAAGGTATGATTTTGCTCTGTTTTCTTTTTATGCACTTGATTGCATAGCTTTCTCTTGATTTCTCTTAATTCCATGATTTGGTTATACAATTGTACTGTCTATTGTGTCAATTTCGTTATTATAATTTTAATTGCATCAATTCAGTGTATCAATTTACACACCATATACTTCATCGTGATGTCAAGGTTAGTTGCCTCTCTATGTGATTTGTAAAGTTTTAAGTGAAGTGTTAGTTGAAAATAAGCAAAACAACTCTGATAAGCTTCATAATCATTTTTTAGTTTGTTTTTTTAGGACTTGCGTGTAAATTTTATTAGGTGAAATTATTAGTTAATAGGTTATGTGAGAATTAATAATATTTTTTATTAAACACTATTAAAAACATCATTAATTGTTAATTTTCAGTGACGGTTTGAAAATTTATCACAAAAATGTCACTAATTATAAGTTTTAGCGACAGTTCTTAATACACATACCAACTAATTTTGAATTTTGTGATTTTACTCAATGCACAATCTTTTTTGCCAAAATTATCCCTCTCTTTGACATTGAAACCTAAACCAAAGCCCATTTGTAAGTGTTGTTTCTTCTCCCCTGCTTTGGTCTTGAAAAGAATTTTCGTTATGTATAACATTGCAGAAACTCTGTTATACAAGGCCAAGAAGTTCATTGCAGAAACTAGGGTTTGAATCGGACACTTAGGATTTGATTGTGACGAAGCCAGTGGCCGAAGAAGAAGTTGATCTTGTGGAAAGAGTAAGAGTGTGAGAGGTTGTGATTGGTGATTAGCGTTGGGAGTTTGAGTTCGAAAATCAGGAAATTGAAGCTCCGATTCTTGAAGATCGAAGGTGAAGATTTGGAAGTTTGACGATGATGTTGATTGAAGAATGTAAGGAGTGGTTGCTCAGGTGTGGAACAGAGTAGTAATATAGTATAGATGATGAGAACAACAGAAGGCATAATATATATGATAGAGAGAGGGAGGTGTATAAGTTAGGAGATGGAGATCAGTGTGATTGCCATGGATTCTGAGCTTCGAATGATGAGAGGAGATGAAGAAATTAGGGTTTTGATGGAGAAGATGAGGACACTTTAGTAATTTTATTTTAGGACAAAACTGTAATAAAAAAATAAATTATTAAGTGTGTGCACAGAAGTAGGTAAGTGTGTGGAAATAAAATTTTCCATATACAATAGTGTACCAATTAGTGTTATGATATCATTAATGACCCTATTTATTATAAAAATTGCAAATATCCAAAACTTCTAAAATTATACCACATCATCTGTTGGTACACTAGTGTGTACACTAATTAGTACATATAGCATTATTCTTTACATAATGGGATTCAACCATTCGATTTGGCATTTTATTATTGGCTGGAGATTTCATAGGTTAATACTAACATATGTTAATGATGACATAATATCACGTTTGCAATTAAATTTTTTCCAAGGGTCATATTATAGTACCTATTATAAGCATGTTACAATATTTATAGAGTTGATTAATACAAATATCATAATTAAATCATTTATTAGTCATAGTTTTTAAAAAAAAAAATGAGTTGCACAACATAAAGTATAACCAATTTTTTTTTTGAATCATAATCAAAATAATGTCATCACCAACATAACAATGAACTATAATTAACATCACAATATTTATATATTATAAAGTTATAATCAACACCCCAACAGATCATAACTAAAAACTACAAATATTGCAATTAAAGGCATATGGTACACACCCCAAAAAAGATGTTTATGATAGAATTTCCTTTTTCCCAAATATTGGATTTGTTTGCCGCGCCTTATTCTTAAATTTAATTGTAAGTTAATAATCTATAAACACAATCTAAATGATAAATTACACTCACCTCTTTTGACGTTTAGAGAAAATACAATTAATTCTACAATTTTGACATAATTACACTAGTTTCCTTCAATATTTTAATTCGCATAACATTTGTGCCTTTTTTCATCAATAATTTGTTAATTCTATGGATAAAAAAAATATTAGCCTCTCTTTTTATATGAAAAGATATATTTGATTTTGTTTTTTTCAGTGTTTGCACACTATTTGTACTAGTGTTGATCATTTTAATCTTACCAAAAGGGATGTTAGTATAAATATGTTTAAAGTATAGGACTAACTGTATTTTTTTTTTTTTTTTAATTTCAGAAGAAGCAATGGTCATTTACCCAAATCTAAAACTATTCTTCCTCCAACGTCAAGATAATTTGGGTTCTTTTTTAAACTTACTTACATTATTTTACCTCATAATTTGTAACTAGAAGTTATATCAAATAAGCTAACTAGAATCTCAAAAATATAAATAAATAAAGCTATAAGACTTGGTTTGGATATTAAATTGGCGAAAGATTTGTGCACCCCCAAGAAAAAAAAATGAAGTATATTTTTTTTCCCCTCAAATGTTCCTCTCATTTTCCTTTTTCTCCGTGAATACAAAATCAAACACAACATAAAAGATCAAACAAGGTGATTTGAGTAAATTTTGAAAGGAAAACAAAGTTGCATGATATTAAATTTGATACCTTCTGAGTTGCATTCCACTGTCACTAGAGCAAGAGCAAAGAAAAGGAAAACCAGAGTTGGAGACTTCATAGATCACTAAGTAGTATAACTTATAAGCTTATACAGAAAGATCAAAGTAATATTTCTCAATTTGCTTTCACACGCATCCAACATCTGGGGTATATATATATAGAGGGAGGGAGGGAGAGTGGAGTTGATTTTAACGACTTGAAGGGGTCGAAAGAGGTGGCGCTTCAGTTGTTACTCAAAAAAATAAAAAACAAATTCTCTGTTTTTGTTTTTTATTGTTGAAAAATATTTGTTAGAATTGCTGATTAATTATAAATAATAACAATAAAATAGGGCCAAGAAAATTGAATTTGCTTTGGTGACCAAGACTCTAGGCTTATTGGTGGAGTTTTTCTTAAGTTAAAAGTTGATAATCAGAAAATAAAAATTAAAAGCACTCATTCTCTAGTTTTCAAATAATTAACATTTCTAATCTACTAGGCATATAATATTTGTTAGTCAAAATGCCTAGTATGACTCACTTTTTTCAACTCTAATGCATTAGGCATATGATTAGGCATTTTAGCTAAACTCACATTTATTAACTACATGCAGCTAGCCTTCAAGGTTTGACAAAATATACTAACTCCAACCACATTCTTTACTTTTTACTAACTAAAGTACGAAAAAAGTACACTCTTTATTTTACTTAATTACTTTATGTATTTTGTTCTTCAACCACACTCTTTATTTTAGTTAATCATTCAAACTAACTTAATAAATTTTTAAAACAAAAAATACTAATTGCTAATATTTTACTAATGTAAATTTGTAATAATAATAAATTTGCCCATATAAGCATACAAAGCCTGTAGAATGAGGAGAAACAAAAAATAAAAAATACAAAATAAGTTATTTCATAATTCATCAAGCAGAATTGAAAGAACATATAAAATTGCTGCATACACATATACATATATAAAATATATAAAATCTCAAATCTAAGAAATAAATATACAAAAATCCAAGACATATACATACGTATTTGTTTGGAGAGCTTATGAGATTCTTTAATTGTAGCTAGCAAAAAGGTAGGATGGTAAAATAGTCAACCCAATAGCCAGCCCATTGGAGTCCAAAATTAGAGTTATATTAGCTAAAACGCTTAACAAGCTTTTTTTTAACTATCCCCTTGAAGATGCTTAGAATCATTTCTTTTCATCTTTGTTATTGATGTGGCATTCTATAAGTCAATAATATTTAGATGAATAGTTAAAATAAAGAGTATGTTAGAATAGAAACATGAAACAGTTGATAGATAAAATAAAATGTATACTTTATAATAATATTTAAATAGGTAAAATACATTTTACTGTTAGAGATACTCAAACAGAAGATGCACTAAACTATTTAACATAGACTTTCAAATTAAAATAAATTATAATTATTCCTTAAAAATTGTACCAAACATAAATCTTGAAAGAGCGTAAGAACCACTTTATGTTATTTTATATTTTCAAAAAATCAAGACTCTTCCAAAGGTAGAGTTGTGAGAAAAGTCCGCTGGAGTGAAGGTAATTTTTGCCATGGCTTCTTAGAAAGACCGCTCTTATTTATTTATTTATTTTTTATTTTTTTTTGTGTAATTTACTCATAGATAGAGTTGGATTTGACGTCAAAATAATTACCGATGATTACGGAGTTATTATTTATTAAACTCCTGCCATTTTTGAATAAATTTCGAGATATGGATGGTTTTAAAAGTTTTTTTTAAGGGTTTTTTATTTTATTTTTTATTTTTTTTAAACACATATTTCCAAGTCAACGCAAGTAATAGACTATTTACCCTTGATTTGAAAATTTTACAAGTTTTGAAATTTAAATTTAATTTGTTGACCTTTCAAGTTGATCACGAATAACTTAGGTCAAGTTTGGGAAGACTAAATAAGTGTACTTTTTGATTTTTTTTGTATTATGTGTAGAAAAAGTTGAGAGGAAATGTTGATTGATGTGACCCAAAAAAGATAAAAAGATGAAATAAGTGCACTTTTTTAGGTTAGCCAAACTTGACCTTAATTTTTATATAATAAACGGCGAGTCAAGTAATATATTATTAAGTTTTGACTTAAAAACTCAAATTTTAAAATTTATCTAAACTCAACTTATTTATATAACAAGTGAACCTCAAATAATATTTTAAAAAATTGAATACTAGATATCATGCATACAATTAAAATGACAAACTAAACAGTGCACTATTTTTTATTTGTTTATCTATCAACAATCATTTTTCAGTAGGCCTTATTACATTTTATACCCTTAAATTATTATCCAATTATTTATTTAATTTATGAACTATGGGTTGAGTTTACTAACTCTCTAAAATACATAAATCAAAATCTATTTATTTTCTATATTATTGATTGAATCTATTAAGTCCCTAAAATATTCAATTCAAACCTATTTAGTTTCTGAAAAGGTTACAAAAATAAAATATAACCACATAAGTATTATACATTAGTAAAAGATCCTATCTAGTTAAAATTTTATTTCAAAAAAATTTTAAATTGTTTTTTTGTCTTTGAAAAGTTAGTGTCAATTTTTATGGTAAATTTTCTTTATAAAGGTAAAAGTAATTATCTAAAGT